CACCGGAGTTAACCCTAGCAATTGTAAACACCATGAAGCTATAATATATGTTCAAGTAAGCTCAAAGAGAACATGAATCAGGATATAACTTTAAGGATAATATAGAACTCACCGGTGTACTTGAATCACCGGCTGAATACAGCGGCGTCGGGTAGGGCGGACGGCGGTCGGCGGCGGCGATGAAGATCTAGAACGGAAGCTGGAAATGGCGGGAAATCGGATTGTGGATAATGAAGCATTTAACTTGGCGGGAGAAAAGATGAATTTATTGAACCGCTTGTTGGGCCGTGTGATTTAGTTTTGGGCCTGATTTATATGTTGCGATAAGTTGGTAAATAGATAGTTTTAAGTTTTAACCTCTCATATCAAATAGGGAAAATTGTATGAAATAGCAAACTATTAATTTAAATTAAATGTTATAGCCATAGTTTATTTTAGTTGTAATTCGCAGCAAACATTCCCTTTTTTTTGTCATCTGATTCGGTATACGATTAGCCATTTTCGGTATACAATTAGTCATTTTATACATTTCGGTATAAAATGTGTTTGTGTTTGGATAAAGCGAGAGAAAAGTGTATATACAAATACAAATACATATATTCGTCCTATACACTTATAATTATACAAATACAAATCTTATTATACAAATTATAATGTATAAATGAATTTATACAAAACTGAACAATTTGTATAAAATTGAATGTTTGTACCGAATTATACAAATCAAAAGCTCCATAGCAAACATAAAATTTGTTATGGAGCGCAATTATGCAAACTATAACTATAACATACAAATATGATTTTTATGTTTGCTATATATGAAAGTTGTTCTATCAAATATTGGTCACTATTTTAAGACTACTTATTTCATTCGTTTCAATTTCTATGTGGTATCTTTCGAATTTTGAGAATGGAATGTAACTCTTTGTGTAAATTCGAGTATGAATGTAATGCTTTTGTGTTCTTGAGTTTAAATATAGATTATTATTATTTTAAAGGAAATTTTGCAAATAGTCATTATAATAAACTCAATTAGGCTCTTTAGCTATAATTTGGATATTTACAGATTGTAGCTATAGTTTAAGCTGCTATGGGCGACCTCGTTTGTATAATTCATAGGTACGTTTGTATAATTCGCAGGTACATTTGTATAGTTGATTTATTTTCATCTGTATTTGTATAAACTAGTTAGTATCAATTGATTTGTATTTATTTTTGTATAAACTCAAAATAACGATTTTATACAAACACAAACATCTGAACTTTAAACAGTTATACAAATTACATTATACATAATAAATTATACAAATTATATTTATACAAACGTATACGCTTACACAAACTGAAAAAAGTGGGTGACGTAATTATCATTGAACGTTGATATTTGATAGCGAGTGGTAATTAATTAAAATTATAGTTATGATAATTAATTAACTAGTATATATTTACTTAACCGCGTAATTCATCCTTACAAACATAATTGTTACGTTCGTATATTACTTAAGATTTTTATTTGCCGAAAATGAATTATTTTAATCGAGATATAAGAATTACGTTAAATTCCCAGTCCTTGTCGTCTTGTCGATATAGGACTACAAATTGCATATTTGCATGCCTATAAAAAAAAATACATATTACAAATCCTTATCAATATAGGACTACAAATTCCACGCCTATAAAAACTCAACTATAGTTTCATTTTTCAAAGCACAAAATACAAATTATTGTCCTTTGCTCTTTTCAACTATGGCGAATTGGGCATTTATGTCCAACGATCTCATTGTTCAAATTGCAAATCGTGTTAAAGTGATCGAAGATTTCGTTGTTTTTCGTGTTGTTTGTACCTCTTGGCGAATTGCCACTAACAAGGACGATTTCAATGTGTTTTTGCCTCAAGTTCCATTGCTTATGCCAGTAGGTAACGACAATGACTTTCAAGAATTTTACTCTCTTTCCAAGAAAAAAGTTTTGCGGTTATTTCTTCCAGAAGTTAGAGCGTGAGAGTGCTTTCCATCGGAGATATTACTTATTGAATAATTTCTCTCGTGCCAAAATTCAACTTCCTAATGAAACAAATTTATGGACTATAAATGTTCCTAACAAAATAGGACGTAAGTTATCGCCTTACATGGATAAAGCTATTTTATCTGCTAATCCTTCTGTTACGTCAAATTATGTACTTATGATTAATTATTATGTAGATGAGGGTTGTTTGGCTTTTTGGCGACCTAAAGATCTCAAATGGACTAAAATTTATACAATAAGAAGTAGTGGAGAAACCGGTTTGATTTACTATAAGGGGAAATTATCGCATATGATTGAGGCTTATATAAATCTAGAAATATATATATGAATGTTCCATACGAGGATATGGTGTTAGTAAGCTAATCAAAGTTTTGTATGTCCCGAAACAAATTCACTAGCTTTTCTGTAGATTATGTATTTATATTAAAAAATTAAACAGGTATATATGTATTAACTTGTGAACCTCTTAAAAATTGATTGATTGTATTTGTTTTTCGACAGTTCATGTGCCTAGCCTGGGAATGACCACACAAAGAAGCAAGAGCACCTTAATATTTGTGAAACCATCTAAAGTTACAGATACCATTTTTGAGTGATCGGTGAATTTTTCTTTTAATTTGCTTAATGATTTATGTTTTTATAAGTGATCATCGTAAATCGTGATCGAATCGAATGATTAACACCTCTAATTATACTAGTCAATAAACAAAAGTTTTTCAAAAACGTTATTTGGCTTGGTGTTGATCTATTTGAAAAAAATATTGTTCATTAATCACCATCCTCACATTAATGTCTTTTTAATAACTTATTACTTTACCTAATATCTTCTACTTATTATTTGCTTTAAGTATACTATAAATAATTATGTAAAAAATATGAAAAAGGGATAAAAACTCTTTTAATACTTAAATGCAGATTTTTTGTAAGTAGAAATAAAAAAAAATCAATTAAAATATTTATATTTTACAGATTGTTTAAAATCAAATTTGCTCTTTTTATCTGTTTTTTATCCGTGTAATATCAAAAGAATGCAATTTTTTCCCTTTTTAATTTCATTTAATAAATAAAAAACTATATTTTTTTCAAATTCGTTAAAATCCCATTCTTTAAAATTGGAAACTTTGTTTTATTCTTTTTCTTCCGCAATGTATAGCTGCAATAAATATCTTCCTCTCTGTAACAAATTTTCTTCATTTTTGGAATTTCCTTTCTCGTTTCATTTTTTCTACAATGAAAATGACTTCAATCAAATAATAAGAAAAAAGAGTTTATCTTCCATGGTCTTCACCCACATGTATTATCTCGTGTGCGGATTTTTTTTTTTATAATCAAGCTTTATCGGAGATTCGTTCCTATAATTTTTTTCTTTTTGTTTTCCATTCGGAATCCACATTAGAGCTCCAACTAAATCCGGATCGCGCACTGCAGGGTCATTCAGGGTGGCACGTCTTATAATTCAATTAGTATTTGTTCTACTATTTATATTCTATTGGAATGTATTTGGTGATAATATTGATAAGAGTTTTGTTTTCGTCTCACAGTCTATTTACTGTTATTACTAACCTATTTCTCTTTGTAGGAAGCTATGATAATTTATCAGATTTTTTTTTTAAGAAATAATTTTATTATCGTCGTTTTTTTTTCGATCAATATGTTTTGTCTTAAAAGAATTTTGTCAATCAAAGAACATTGGAAAAACATTATACACGTTCACTCATACACACCCATAACTGCATATTCATCTTAATTTTATATTTATGTAATAATTTTTAATATATATTTTACACTTGAAACTTGTTAAGTTATAATTTGATAATTTTTTTTTTTTTTTTAAATTGACAATATAATATTTCTTGTAAATTCTATTAGACACGAATATACATATATAAATTGTTGTACGTTACACAACAACACAAATATTAAAATTCTAGATAAGTTTTTATTGATTATTGTTTTAAAAACCTTTTCAATTGAGTATACTGTTTCACAAACTTACAAAAAAATAGAATTAAGATTTTAGTCTGTCAATAGAGTATTATCTTTTATTTGTATAATAACATTCGTGTTACTTTTAATTACAAAAAACATATCGAAATCAATGATATTGTAGTGATTATTACACCATATAGTGTCAATCATACCATAATTTAGTCGGACTCTAATGTAGGTATAATAGAAAATCAAAATAAGAAAGTAATTATATTTTTAATGCCAATGTTCACTCAGAAACACACCCATTCAATGTTCCAAATTGGCAAAGAGAGCAAACAAATAAACTTTTATTTTGGCAGCTATACCAATGTATAATTAATGTATATACATATAATATATGAATTAATTATACATGTTGCGTACCGACTAATTGTTTACAAATTGAAACACACTTTAGTACACAATTACTTATTGGTAAAGAATCCACAATTTCTCTTGTATTATCATTTTGAACAATATTAAAGTCCTGTAAAAATGACTGAAAAATCAAAATTGTAATAATAAAATTCGAATTGAATATCTTAACCATCGAAGTATGTAAGAAAAAAACTTTGATGCATGTGTTATCAACATCGAAAGCTTGAGAAATTTACTTTTGTGTAATTTCACGTAACTGACATAAATTATACGACACTTACTTAAATTAGTAGCATTATAGTCTCTCATTTTGCAATTGTATTGCTATCTGTTACTGAATTTGCTTTGTATCTGGTTATTTTTATTGTCGTATGAATAGATTTTATAGTCTCTATAAGAATAATATTTGTATTTATTATATTCTCTCCAAACTCCACTTGTTGTATATAATCGATACAAATAACGTAGTTTTATTGCCAAAGGTAATAAGCAGTTACATTAATATTGATACTAAAGTACCAACACGTACACATACACACAACTTAAGATTTCATAATCTACTTCAGTAGTCGATATAGCTAGCCATAGCTGATTTGCTTCTTATTTTTTATTATCATACAATACTCCCTTATAGTACTGGGACATATAATTCAATCATTCTCATAAGCCAGGCTGCTACACATGAAACCCTACAACAAAATAATTAAACATTAATCATATAGTTAATTTCACATATTATTACAATCGATAAAGTTACAAAACATATATATTTTTTCGTTTAATTTATATATAAGTAGCGTAAATGTTTTAACTTTTGTGACTATACTATTAAAAGTGAGTAAAGTTCAATTTCTTTAATGCAACTTGCGTTCAGTTACTTATTATATATAGTAAGTGAAGTTCAATGATTATATGTGAGATTATTATTTGTATGTATTAGACTTTAGTATTGTGAGTAAGAGACTCTGATATTAATTTAATTTGTCACGAGGAGTTTAGCTTTTGTACACTGCATAGTTACCTGTAGTAATTAATTTAGCAATGACGCTCGTCATCGCTGCAATCGCTGCCACTGCCGTAACCATTTCTCCTACGGTGTTGTTTCTTGTAAGTGGTGCAACCCGAAGAGCCCATTCCATAGCTACTATGTCCCTCATGTTTCTTTCCAAAGCCCATAACATGGCCCAAAGCCGTGCCCGTTCCGAGGCCCAATCCCATTCCATGCCCGTTGGGCTTAGGTTTGTGTATGTTGTGGGCCGTACCATAGCCCATCCCATGAGTATTGTTGTGGCCCGTGCCATAGCCCATTCCATGAGAAGTACCGTTGTGGCCCGTACCATAGCCCATCCCATGAGAAGTATTGTTGTAGCCCGTACCGTAGCCCATTCCATGGCCCGTGCTATGGCCCATCATTGGCCCACATGGGTTGCTACCATGTTGATGGCCATGGCTAGCGCCGTAGCCCATCATTTCAGGTTTGGTTTCATAACACTTTTCTTTCTCGTAGTAAGATTGTTCGTATCCAGAGCTCGAGTAAGAAGTTGGTTTTTGGTTTCCATAACTATAGTAATCGAACTCTTTGCCTTCTTCTTTGTAGCATTGCATTGAAGCCATGGCTTGATGGATTTTTTTGTTTGTTTGAAATGATTGTTTTGTTTTTTGATGGCTTGAGGAAAATGAATTGAGGAAGATAGGTATTTATACAAGTTATATTAGTTAGTGGGATTCTTTTATTTCCTCCATTATTTGATGTAAGGGCCAAAAAGAATTTATTCTAAAAGGATAATATGATTAAATATGATAGATAAATATTCTTATATATCTTGCTCAATTTTTATTTGAATGGCATAAAATAATTGGTGCACCATACGATATTAATTACTTCTTATACCATTGTGCAAGATTTAATTAGCTTAATAACATCTTATTTTGAAGAGAAAAAAAAAAGTGAGATTGACCGATATCTATGCGTGTTTGTTCCCTTTAATTTGTTCGATATTTTTACTAAAACACAACCATATTTAGCTTTATATATTTCAATGGACGATTCGTCACAAAAATAAAGTGTTTGTATTTCAATTACGTGACATGTTGAAACATTCACGACAGTGTTTTACAGGTACAAGTCTTAAGTGTCTAAGTGAAAAAATCGAACAAATTTAAAGGATGGCATATGTATACTCAACCAAAAGAATCCAACTAGTTTAATTATCCCATGCATGCATGGCAAATATAATACGTAATACATTTGGTGTCTTTGGAATAAATATTTTTCAAAGATTCACTACGCACTTATGATATTGAGTGACATAAAGTTGTTCGATTTTTTGTTATTGAGGAAAATACCACTTTCAATATTTGTAGTTTTTTAGTATTCCAATCACTAGCTACGTACATTTCATGTTAAACAATTATTAAATTTTTGAGAAAAAACCAGAATTCAGAAAATTTACTAGAAAAAAATAGTATAATTAATAGTCGCTCACTCTGTAATAACTTAATCTAAAAATAGTTGGCGAAACATGATATATATATATATATATATAATATGTATAAGTTATAACTGTGCATATAATTCTCATATCGGCTAAGAAAAAGTAAACAGTACATTAATCTACAACTATTTTCACAAAGATGCCAAATTACAATGCTCGACATAATTTAAATAAAATTTGAAGTTTAATAAGTGTGTGTTGTGTAGTTTATTAGTATTATTTACTCGATGTATTCACAATATATTCAACTTTTCTTTTAATTTCAACAAAAATATTTCCAATTGACTTCTTGGGAAGTCGTTCATTTTCACCACACTCACGATCTGACTGACCTACCAACTATAGTCCCCTAAAATAGCGTAGTAATTGAAGGAATTACATTTGTTTAGAACTCTACATATATACCGTTGTAGACTTGTAACAAGAAAGTGAAGAAGAAGGGTGTTTTAGATATTTGACTAAATTTCAGTTAATATAGAATTTAATGAAAAAAATATAAGAATACCCCTAAATTTGTTTGAAATTTTTAATTACACACTTGTTCAAGAACACCCCTAAAATAATTTTGAATTGAAATATATAAAAGTCATATTCAAGTATGTGTTAAAAGTGTTATAGTGATATACACGCTATGTTATATGCATATATTTAATTATTTTTTTAATATTTTTTTTGTATTATCTTCCTTTTTCTTATCTATATTTCTTTTTCTTCCTTTTCTTTTTTCAATTTATTTTCTTCCACATATGTTACTTTCACTTAATAAAACAAGATGTCATGCTTCACCCTCCTTATCTATCTGTCTCTTTTTCCAATAGTGACGGAGCTAGACTTTTTCATTAAGATACGATCAAAATTTTTTAGTAAGAGAATTGAAAATTTGAAAAAAAAACTTATAAAAAGGTTAAAGAGAATTTAACATCTATTATATATATTTAGAAGAATATAAATAATGTTATTTTGCATCGAAAGAAGAACCAATCACCTCCTACCTAGCTTTATTCAATGTCAATTTAATTTCCCCTGTAGATGATCATTTAGTGGTTGTTTGGTGATTTTAACGATGGATTAGCAGTGGATTAATAATTATGGATGATGGCTAATTATTAAACAAGTAGTGATTCTTTTGTGTGTGTTTTCACCCAAAAAGGAGTGTAGTACGCTATTTATAAATGTAAATTATTATTGTAAAAAATTATAGTAAAGTGATAAATATTCATTTATTTTTAATCGTAAAGGTTTTAAGTTTGAGCTGAATATGGAGACAATCATCTGATAGAGAATACTTTATCCTAAAAAATATTTTTTTTCAATATAAATTCAAATTATTCATATTCATCAAACATCAGGAACAAAACAAATCATTGTACCAATAAGTGTAGGCTATCGATTTATTCGATTGGAATGAACAAAATGATTGACTAGAATCCAAAATTTAATAGGATAAAATGTTTGATAATGCATCTACTTTATTTTATGAAACATATTTTTATAACTAAGATAATTTAATTTTGAACTCCTTATTTTATTTTATTTTGACATAATTTTATAATGGAATCATACAAATATCATAAATGTTTGAAATTATAAATTGCAAGAACTTTTGTTTTGCACTGAAATTATATGGTAGATAATCCTTACGATAATCTCAGTAATCACAATAATTTGATTTTGAACCAAACTACACAATTTATTTGCCTTTTTTTAAAGTTCGTTTTAGAAAATAATATTTCTTTTGATGATTTTTTAATTCTATTTTTTCATATGATATATTTAAAATCATAAGATTAAATGACATATTGATACATTTTATAAATTTTAAATTTATGATCATAAAATTGGGAAATTATTTTTACTTTTTCAAACTTCACGTCTATTTAAATCTGACAAAACAAATTAAAATGAGAGAGAGTAATCAAGATAATTTCAAGCCGACAATGACAAGGGCACAATATTATTAAAAAAGATTTTAACCAATTACTTATCTTACAACGTCAAATATATTATTCTAATATAATAACATTATCAATTTCTACTTTTGTAAAAAGTAGTTTTTCTCCATTTTAGATCAAAATATTAATTAAATTTAGAAAACTAATACCTATCCCCACCACCAAAAGGCCCACTTGCACAAATTATCTTAATTCTTTAATCAAAGAAAAAATAATAATAACAATAATGGATGTTATAGATGTGGATGAGAAAATAAAATAAAAAATAAAAAAATCCATCAAATTTAAACCACTCAAAAATTATTTTGAGGTTCTAATGGCGGTGTCTTTTGGCCTTTTCTAATTTTTTTTTTTTCCCCATTTTCCACTTTTTTTCCACTTTTTTCTTTTCCAGATTTATTCGCCGTGGACGAGGTTGTCGGTGCTGTTGTTTTTTCTCCGGCAATATGGTCAGCATCATGAACGTTGATAGAAAAATTAGTAGTGAAGATGAGTATATTAGGAGACATCATAGACATGATGTTAGAGATAATCAGTGTAGTTCATCACTTGTAAAGCATATTAAAGCTCCTGTTCATATTGTAAGCAACCCCAATTTAGATTCTTGAAAAAAAGATTGAATTTTGATGTTTATTTTCATTTGTTAAGCATATCAGAGCCCTTGTTGAGGTTGTAGGTAGCCCCTACTCAGTGTGTTGAAAAAGAAGATTGGATTTTTATGTTTATTTTAGGATGATTGATGCAATTTCTCACTTGTTAAGCATATTTTAAGCATATTGGAGCTCTTGGTGATGTTGTAAGTTGCCCCAAGTTAGATTCTTGAAAAAAAAAGACTGAATTTTTATGTTTATTTTCATTTGTTAAGCATATCAGAGCCCTTGTTGAGGTTGTAGGTAGCCCCTATTCAGTGTGTTGAAAAAAAACATTGGATTTTTATGTTTATTTTAGGATAATTGATGCAATTTCTCACTTGTTAAGCATATTGGAGCTCTTGGTGATGTTGTAAGTTGGCCCAAGTTAGATTCTTGAAAAAAAAGACTGAATTTTTATGTTTATTTTCATTTGTTAAGCATATCAGAGCCCTTGTTGAGGTTGTAGGTAGCCCCTATTCAGTGTATTGAAAAAGAAGATTGGATTTTTATGTTTATTTTAGGATGATTGATGCAATTTCTCACTTGTTAAGTATTTTTAAGCATATTGGAGCTCTTGGTGATGTTGTAAGTTGCCCCAAGTTAGATTCTTGAAAAAAAAAGACTGAATTTTTATGTTTATTTTCATTTGTTAAGCATATCAGAGTCCTTGTTGAGGTTGTAGGTAGCCCCTATTCAGTGTGTTGAAAAAAAACATTGGATTTTTATGTTTATTTTAGGATAATTGATGCAATTTCTCACTTGTTAAGCATATTGGAGCTCTTGGTGATGTTGTAAGTTGGCCCAAGTTAGATTCTTGAAAAAAAAGTCTGAATTTTTATGTTTATTTTCATTTGTTAAGCATATCAGAGCCCTTGTTGAGGTTGTAGGTAGCCCCTATTCAGTGTATTGAAAAAAAAGATTGGATTTTTATGTTTATTTTAGGATAATTGATGCAATTTCTCATTTGGTGATGTTGTAAGTAGCCCCAAGTTTGATTCTTGAAAAATAGATTGAATTTTTATGTTTATATTAGGATAATTAGTACAATTTCTCACTTATTAAGCATATTGGAGCTCTTGGTGATGTTTTAAGTAGCCCCAAGTCAGTTTGTTGAAAGAAAGATTGGATTTCTATGTTTATTTTAGGATAAGTAATGCAATTTCTCATTTGTAAAGCATATCAGAGATCTTGTTGATGTTGTAAGTAACCCCAATTCAGTTTGTTGGAAGAAAGATAGGATTTTTATGTTTGGTTTAGCTTTTCTTGATCAGATCTGTATGTGATTGACCTTTTATTGAGAATATCTCTGATGTTTTTATTTTTATTTTTTTGGTTTGTATAATTGAGTGTTAGAATGAAGGAGCAGAAGGAATCTGAATGATTTACAGTAATGATCCCATCTAGTTTTAAGTTGATTCATAGTTGTAGTATTTGAAACTTGAAGCTTTTCTTTTCAATTTGGTGTTGTTTACAATTGGATTTTCAGTTAGGATTTAGCTTTACATTGATGGGATTAATATATTGAAACAAAAGGGGTTGCCCGGATGGTAAGCACCATCCACCTCCGACTTTGATGTCGTGGGTTTGAGT